TCCTTAGTACGGCAGAATGGGCACGTTGCGCTGGTCAAAGAATCGTGCTTTGAAGCTTGATTCTTGTAGATTAGCTAAAAATAATAAGATCTGTCCAAACAGCAACTTTCTACTTTCAATATGAATCGAGATATCGCGCTTTGAAAAATTCGATTGATGACGTTTTCAACCGCGGTTGTGCATAACATGATATTTTCCACCCTGGATTCGTCAACACACGTACATGCGCGCAATTGCACTAGTTACTGAACGTGAAACTCAAATGAGAGCAAGGTGGAAGAAACCAAGGGTATCAGTCCTGTAGTGGATGACGTTACAAGCCGAATTTTTGGAGGGTGTGGATTCGATCGACATGAATCCATCGAAAAATGAAAACGTGAATCAATAGATATGAATCGATCGGCACCGATTCGATCGACAAATTATTAAAAAACCGGTGTCGATTCGATCGACATGATTCGATCGAAAAATAAAAACGTGAATGAGAAACAACTTAATCAGCCAAAATACACGTAATAAAAGAACAACTTAATTTGGGGAAAAGGCTGCAAATAAAGAAAAAGGAATAAACAAAACCCGGGACGTTTCAAAATAATAACAATTTCATTATCAACCGGAAAAAAAAAAAAAAAATTAAAAACAAAAACGAGCCGTCGCTCCGCTGTAATTGCGAGACCGAGACTGATTACCAGGTAAACAGACTCGGCACAGTGCAGCAAAATCAAAGCACACAAGACAAAGATTACAAAAAAGGATGGAAATTTAATCACCAGCTCCCTCTGGGAGGAAAAACTGGTGATAAGAGGCACAGAGACCATCAACATCAGCGCGGTAATTACAAAGTTTGTTCCTGCGCTTCAAGATATTCATCATTTCGAGGAGAAGACGCGGAAAATAACGCTTTTCGGAGGCTAAAATTTTAGCCCCCCCGAAGTCAAAGCGATGCACCTCTGCATCTTGGTGGTGCTGCAAGGCAGTCTTCTCCCCTTTCCCATATCGATGTTGAGAAAGCCTCTTTTTTAGTACCTGGGATGTCTGTCCTACGTACCCGACTTCACAATCCTGACACTGTACGTAGTAAACGACGCCAGCCACCAAGTCATTAGTTCTTTTTGATTTCAAATTGGACATTAAAAAACCGAGATCGTTATATTTGGTATGCACAACAGAAAATCCATACTTTTTTAAAACATTTGCTAAACTTTCCGACAAAAGGGGCACATATGGCAAAGAAATCAGTTTGTCAAATTTTATTTGACCCTTTTTACAACCATAATTTTGGTGTTTTCCACTTCCTTTTTCCCTCAACACTTTTGAGAATTCCCGATCAACAAGAGTGCTAGGGTAACAATTTTCGAGCAACAATCTCTTCCCTATCTTTATAGTTTCTGAGAGAAACTGATGGTCGGTAAGACGCACAATTCGCTGTGCTAAATTGGTGACAACATTTTTCTTGTAAATTTCAGGCTGCACAGAAAGGTAATTTAAATAACGCCCTGATGAAGTTGGCTTCTGGTACCATTGGCAAACAGCTAAATTACAAGAAAATTAATTTTGCCATCAATTTCCTCTTCCAGAGAAAATTGAATGGCAGGATTTCTAGAATTGCAAAATTCAAGAATAAGTCCCGTATGCTGTTTGCAAACCATAGAAAAACTGTCATCAACATATCTTTTATAATTCAAAATAGGGAAAGGTATGTTAGCGTGCAAATCATCATCAAAAAATTCCATAACAATTTCAGCCAACACCGAAGAGACACTGCCACCCATAGCAAGGCCACTAACTTGTTGGTAAAAGGTGGAATCAAATTGAAAAACAGTTGAATTTATGCACACTTTTAAACCATATAGAAACTGCTCTTTTGGAATGGAGCAATGCTCTTGAATTTCATTCCACCGGCGCTCAACACATTCAAGGGCTAGATCAGAAGAAATATTGGTGTACATAGATTCAACATCTAAAGAAATAAAAATGTAGCCATCGGGCACTTCCATCCTGTTGATGAAGTTGTAAAATTCAAAAGAATTGGCAATGTGAAAATTTGATTTACCCACGATATTGACCAAAATTGACGAGTACATTTTTGAAAGAGTGTAAAAAGGGCATCCAACGGCAAACATAAAAACGTGAATCAATCGACGTGAATCGATCGACGGACAACCGGGGATCGATCGACAAACCCGTGAATCGATCAAATTTTGTCTATCGAATCGGTGTCGATCGATTCACGTAATCATTTTTCGATCGATTCATGTCGATCGAATTGACACGGGTGTTTTCAAATTAACTGTCGATTGAATCGCTGTCGATTTATTCATGTCGATCGATTCACGGTTTCATTTTTCGATCGATTCATGTCGATCGAATCGACACCGGTTTTTTAATAATTTGTCGATCGAATCGGTGTCGATCGATTCATATCTATTGATTCACGTTTTCATTTTTTGATCGATTCATGTCGATCGAATCCATACCCTCCAAAAAGTGTTAAAAACTTTTACCTCTTAGTAAAGTAATTGACTTTAAATTTTGGTGAAATCTCTGGTCACTTCTCGGTTAATATGGTGCAGCGTCTTCATCGTTTTCCACTTTCAAATCCCTTGCGTCCAGATTTAACACCTAAACTAGTGAAATTAATTTTTTTTTCAAAACTTCCGATGCAGAATGCAGATGCTGGTTATTTTCTTCACACCGACAGTAAGACTCCCAAACCATGTAACTCGTTTGTGGTCTTTTAAAAACTCTGCTCCCATTTCATTGTTATGAAGGAGAACAAAACATTATAGGTTTCTCATGAAGTTTCCGCATAATTTGTCTCACACAGAGAACAATCGCAGAAGTTTTAAAATATTGATTTAGAGTGGTTTTTCATTTGAAGATAAAGTATGGCAGGAAGTCTGAAAAGTCGCAAATTGAGATACATGGTTTGGAAGTTTCACCGTCGAAATGTATCTACTTGAAACTGTTGCGAGTGAACTCCTATAAAATCGAGAAAATGGACAAAGACTCACAATTGGCCGCTTTTAGGGAAATTAATTTCATTTTGACGGCGTTTCTAAGAAATTTTAAGTAGGTATAAAGGAAATTTTGAGAGGTGGATCAAGAGGGAGGGTGAGTTTCCAATGATACCATCCCACTTCCCGATGTTTTTCGTCCATCCGCGTTCTATGAACTTTACGCGCTCTAGAAAGACTTACTTCCATGCGCTAGAAACGGAGTCGAAATGAGAGGGTTCCTTCACGGAGAGGGACGACCAAATATTGAGTTTTTTTCAGCTTATTCCGTTTTCTAGGGACAGTTAGACGTGAGTCCTTGAAATTAAAAATGGCCTTGACTCTTACATCTTACAATCCAAACAAAAAATAAGACATCGCTGGTTGCATTTCTAAATAATAAAAAAATCCGATTTCTCGATCGGTTCAAAGCCAGTCGGAAAAAGTCATCAATTGGACCAACCGATGTGTCATTCTTTACTTCAATAAACAAAGGTTAAAAGGCAAACGGGCTTAACTGCATAGCAATGTTGCGAAGTGCCATTTTATAATTTCTTCATATTTCGTAAACGCGCGGTTGTAAGTTCTCTTTAAATATGTAATTTCCAGTTATTTTACCAATGGTTTTACGAAAATTGCTGCTATTTTCGGTGTAAAAAAAAACTTGCATCTTCCGATGAGTTGAGTAAGAGATTAGCAACATGAGTTTTCTGGTGAAACTTTGAAAAGTTGTAATACGATGTATCTTATTCTAGTTCTGATTGCTCTAAATAGTTGGGTGTAGCATTAATCGGTCTCAAACACAGGCTGAGGCCTCGTTTTTTAACTTTACTCCCGAGTCTGAGCGACAACTGATTGGCAGCATAGGGCGGAACATTAAGAGTTCACGCCTCGCGCCGTCGCGCCTTCAATTGTGCAGATGCAACACGGACGTCCATCAAGCACGAATAGTTGTATCTCTGCGCCGTCATCAATTCGCGTCCCTTCCCTTACTCTATTTTCATGCTATACGTTTGTTCCGTTTGTCTGTTGTGTAGTGGTACTTTAAGGGCTACGTGGGCAACACAGCCGAAGATCGGAGAGACGTATCTAACCAGGCTTCGTTTTTTAATTTTTCTCTCGAATCTGATCAACACTTCATTGGCAGCATGGAGCGGAACAATCCGAGTTCTCGCTTCGCGCCATCGCGCCTTCAATTTTGCAGATACTACCCGGACATCCATCAAGCACGAATAGTTGTATCTCTGCGCCGCCATAAACGCGCATCCTCTTCCTTGTTCTATTTCCATGTTGTGTTGGTCCCATTTATCTTATTTTGTCACTGGTGTTTCAAGGGTTACGTGAGGAACGCAACCAGAAATAGAAAAAGCGTAATCAAACCTCATTTTTGAAAATTCTCTCCCGAATCCGAGCGACCCCTCACTAGCAGGGCATTGTGAATTCACAACGCGCCTTCAATTTTGCAGATACAACACGGATATCCGACAGTTACGAACAGTTTCTTTGAACGTTTATTTAAAGGCCAAATGTTATCAAAATAATGCTGGGTATGCTCTAGTGATAAGAATGATGATGATTTGTCATTGCTTTCCACAGGGATGTGTTTCCTTGCTTCCTCCTCTTTTTAACAATAAATGGAGGAATTATTTTATTGCCATCTTGGACGAGCGTTTCTGGAGATTTAACGCTATCTTCTTGTTGAACTATCTTTCCTCTCACATGCTCATATTCTCATGCGTTAATATGTACTACCTGCAATAAAGTTTAAGAAGATACTTTGATCTAACTTTGGTAGATAAAAAGCGCCAAAAAAATATCTCATCGTAGCTCATCAACATTTTATCGTATTGTAGATGTACGAATTATATCTTACGTTGTACTCGTGCTCGTACATTCAAATTAATGCATTGCTTTATAACAAAATATATGCTTTAAAGCAACAACAACAAAAAAAGATAAATCAGTAAAAGACTAAAATAAAATGGGATGAAACTCGCTGCATACCTGGTAGAGAGGTTGGCATCTAAGTATGTAACCAAGAGACAGATGTTAAAACGTTAATCCAAATCAGCTATTCCACACCGATATGATAAAGTCTGAACGGCTTACGTAAACAAACACACATTTCCGACCAAAGAGCCTCCATGGAGGTCCCCAAATTGACTCCCAAAAAACGACTTCAAAACAGTGCCGTCATGTAATTTTACGGCGAAGAGTTCAGCTCTAAAACCATATCCTCAAAAAAAGCACAAGACGGAACAAACTCGACGTGACGTCGAGCAGAGAGTGAAACCCGCACTGTAGAGAGGCAGACTGCTATTGAAATACCGCACCAAAACAACACAGAGGACTGCGAGCACCGCGAGATCCGTCGACACTGTTTGTAAACATAAAAATCGCGAGAACGCCTCGAAAAACGCAGGCCCGGAACACAACACTCGCGCAGCGCAGATAGCAAAAAAAGAGCGCGCGGCGATAACTTCGAATGAGTCAACTGTTCGAAATCACACGCGAACTTTCGTTCAAACTCGCGAGGAAGAGTATAGACACGTCCGGCGTTGAAGACGAAACTGACGGAGAGGAGGGTGGAATTCAAAATTCGAGCGGGACGAAGACGAACAGCGTGTAAAAATCCGTTAGAGATCTGGTAAGGGCCCGGGAAACTGAGAGGAGCAGGAGCGGGCCCGAGATGAGGATGCAATCCCAACTGACACCGCCCGCACTGGCGGAGGGGTGGGTGTGGGGGCTTTTTTCGGAGCCGAGGGTTGAAGAGGATGCAGAACAATATCAAAGCCCGGACAACTGGCGTTCGGACCAATTTCTCGAGGAAACTGAGAGAAGGGAACCCAGCGAGCACGCACAAGACAGTCGGCCGCAGCCGAAGACACACGCCCGACCCGATCCAAAGCCCGCCTTGACCCTTGAGAGCGCCGCGCGGCGTTGCCGATATGCCCGCGAAAAAGACACAAAAACCGCCTGGATATAGTGAGAAAGGCAACGCGGGTTTAGCGTGCTACGCTCACGATGTTCATTCTGAAGCTCCGGCTCCTCAAGGAAACGGCGCACGGTGGGTCGAGACGATAGGAGTAGCGGACAAAACTGCCGGGCTAGGGAAGAGCGCCGTATGAACATTCGAGAGTTGCCTAATTTCCTATGATAAAATGTTTGTTTTGGAGGGGAATAGTGATTATTTTTCCTTGAAATTTTCAGACACTTTCGATCAAACTACAAACAAATTATCTCGGAAATTGGCAGAAAAATATTCAAACATTTTCCTGAAAATCAGTGATTTGCCAGTGGAAATTTGGCAACGCCTGAAGGTTCATACGGCGGTCTTCCTTAGCACGGCAGAAAATTCGGAAACTTTAAACGAGTGTAACTCCGTTTTTCAGAACTTTGAGGTTCTGAAAGTGGTTTCATTGGTTTCCTCGTAAAATTTTCATCTAGAAGCATCGCTTGGAATTTTAAATGTGACGAAATAAACACCAAAATTTGCAGTTCCAGCCGAAAAGTTCATGTCCGGCCACTCTCATTGCTCGATCCACTGTGCGGCGCAGCCAACCGCGGCAGGCAAGGAGGATGAAACAAGCGTGGCACTCCACCAGCCGGGCGCGCGAGAGAGACGCAGCGAGGCCGTGAATGAATCGGACAGAGAGGGAGGAAAAGACCTCAAGGTCCAGGACACGTGAATGGAAGGAGTGGTGGGGCTGGGCGCGGGGGGCGGGGGGTCTCTCCTGGAGCGGGAAAGAGAGTGGGAGTGAGACAGGCAGCTGAGAGGAACGACCGGTGTGCCTGTGCAAGGTACGGGGTCCCCCCCGTGCCCCGCCCGCCCGCGGGAGGGGGCTGGAGTTGCTACCGGTGCGTAACTAAATAAGTCACTTCCTGTGTACTAATACCGTGCACCTATCCTACCCAGCATCCGGTCGGAGTCCACAGCTGCGACTTATAAAAACAGGAAAGGTAAATCCGTTTCTCGGCGAGGATCTTCTCTAAGAAGGCACATTCATATATTCAACATCCATCCCCCGGGTAATCTCAGTCGCGCAACACGGGAGCGAGAGAGAGAGAGTCTGATCGGGAGGATCGCGGGTGGGAGAGAGAGGGATGGCATGTGTGGGCACCCACGCTGCTTCGCGCCCCGCC